GTGTCTTGATCTCTGGTTGCTTTCCAGTTCAGTTCCCTCTCAGCTAATGATGCATCAGCATACATAGATTCTACATCTCCAGCTCTGCGCTCTGCAAACTTGTATGGAATCTGTAATAAAATAATGGTTTTATACTTTTTAATTGATGACAACTTTCCAGCTGATCAGAAGAKTACTTACTTTTTTACCAGATGCTTTTTCTAAYGCTTTCACCATATCTAATACTGAATATCCATTTCCAGCTCCTAGATTGTAAACCTTATAAAGTGCAAAACAAATGATTCAACATCAACATAAAAGATTCTATGGGCACATAATATTTTAACAGATGATCAAAATCAAGAACCAAGTGGTGTGGTGATATTTCTTCAAGCATCTTTTGTAAGCCTTATAATTGTAATAGTTTCATTCATAATGTATCTTGTTATATTGATTTATTACTACTCAAGCTAGATAGGACAGGGGTTTGGAGAAATCCAACCTCTAGATGACTTAACAATTTACTAAATATACCTTCCAGCCGCAGTTTTTCTCTATTTTCTTCAAAGCAGCAACATGACCCAAAGCAAGATCAACAACATGGATGTAGTCTCTTACTCCAGTTCCATCTGATGTATTGTAATCATTTCCAAAAACATTGAGGTATGGTCGTTTTCCAACTGCAACTTGGGTAATATATGGCACAAGATTGTTAGGTATACCCTATAGCAACAATGGTAAATGCAAATTGATCACACAATGTACAGTATTCATCTAAATATAATCTAAATTTTTCTGTACAAGCAAAGCTTGTAGCTGCAATTAAACCTATGACTGAACGAGTTTACGAAAAGTACCTCCCTCAAGATCACAGGAAAGAACAGATCCAAACTTCAAAACAAAGCAGTTGTGATAAAATGATTTTTACTGTAATTCCATGTACCTTAGGATCTTCACCAATTTTTCCTGATATATGAGCACCGACAGGATTGAAATACCTGAGTGACACAACATTCCATTTCTGTAATAAGAACAAAATAACACAAATTGAATAACATTCCCTTTTGAAAATTCGTTCACTTCCAATCATACTGTTTAAAATTTAACATATCTATTGTCTACCTAATGCTTCATTCTCAAGAGGTTTTGTCCTTAAAATAATACCTTTTCAGAACGACAAAGATCTCTCAGCATTTCTTCAATAAAGTATTTAGTTTTTCCATAAGGATTGGTTATTCCATTGCCAACAGGATGTTCCTCTGTCATGGGTAGAAACTCTGGMTTRCCATAAACTGTGGCAGACGATGAGAACACCATGTTGTATACTCCATACTCCTGCATGCACTGTTTTAAAATACAAAATCATTTAAAAACAAAATAATTCAAAAAAATCATGGTAATATTTGTAAGAGATTTTGTAAGACTTGTGAGATTGCAAGACTGCAACCATTACAGACAGAAAGCTCCAGTATGAAAACAAGAAAGACAAAGCCAGCATCACCAATGTCAATAGAAGCATGGTTAGTGATGTGGTAGAAAAGACAAGTGGTGATGATATACTACATGTAGTTGTGACACTGATTGCAAGGTCATTAGATGAACCTAGTGCATGGTGGTAGCAATCGGTGGTAGTTGCAGTAATGATTGCAGTGTCAGTTGTTGTGATGTTGGTATAAAATTAAATTATAGTGTTAATGTTTGCACTCTGGTAATTTTGATAAATGTATTACACCAATCACAATTTTGATGTATTCTTTGTAGCATAATAGCCATCCAGAGTGATGTGTATGATCACAAATCACAATTTTATGACRTTTATGCCATWTGTGGCTGCAATTTGCTTGGGTGGCTTAGATTGGTGTATATTATGAGTTGATATAACAGGGAATCTGATACAATGCTTAAAAAAATGTGTAAAATTATGTGTAAAATTGCTGAGGAAATTGTCAATTATGAGTTAAATATGACTGATTATATGGGAATTCAARTGTTTTTTAATTCATCTATTATATAGTTTTTTTAAAGGTAGGTTATACACAAAAATTGTAGTCCCGGTTTTTTTGAACGCAGAACTTATTTATAATATACAAATTTTCATTGATACAATTTATACCTGAATTAAATGTAAGGTACCAGTCAGGTTATTGTGATAATATTGGATAGGAATTTGAATAGACTCTCCTACAGCTTTCAGCCCAGCAAAATGTAGAACACCYTCGAATTTGTGCTGAATAAGAGAACAATATTTATTTATAATAAACAATACACATCAAGTAAAGATTGCCTTGGTTACAAATATTGCCATTGTTAYTGCCCTGCACCCATTTTTAGCCTAATATTCACAAATCATTTGGTTGAATCAAATTTTCTCCCAAAAGACTTGTAGGCATCATGTCTATTTCATGCAGTATAATGTAACATATAGTAGTTTTTTCATGCAGTATAATGTAACATATAGTAGTTTTTTCATGCAGTATAATGTAACATATAGTAGTAACATATAGTAACATGCAGTATAATGTAACATATAGTAATTTAAAAAGGTTATCAAATAATGGATATCATACTCTGTGAGACACAATGACTGGATAGATCAAACAGTGTTACCACATCTATCTACTTTGATGTATCAAATGAAATTATATTACTATATAGTCAAAGGTAACTTTCACATTATCATCATTAAATGCAAATTACTATCACTTCCTTTACCTGACTGAAAACTTTTTGTAAACCTTGAAAGTTGAGTAAATCCTCTTTGTAAAATGGTATACTTTTTCCTGTAATTTCTTCTATTCTCTTCATGCACTCTTCTTGGAAAAAGAGAATTGAAAATAATTTGAAAACATTCATCATGGTTGATTGTCGCCTTAGGATTAGAATGGAAATTATATGAAGGCTAAAAGTTTTAAAGTTTTAAATATAGTTGTCAAACGTTTATGTTACTGCATCAGTAACATATAGCAACACATGTAATGAATCAAAAATATCATATATTTATAATTTCATTTTGAATTACATTTTAAGCAATTCAGTTTCAATGAGCTGCATGCAATTTGTTTGTGGTAACATAAACAGTTACAGAATACATGCAGAATGCTCCAACAACTTGTTTAATACAAGATGGATAGCTGTCCATAAAGCCATAGCATTGCTGCACTGATCTCTACCAACAAATCCCCTGTCAGTCCCCTGCCCTTCTCCCCTGGAGTCCAGTTTTTAACACCTATTAAACAGATGTATTTACCTGCATCAGAATTGGATAAATTGTCTAACACAACACAGTCATATCCAGCATTAATGAGTTCTATAACACAGTGACTGCCAATATATCCTGTACCTCCAGTAACCAGATAACACTTAGGCATGGCTAGAGACAATTAAAATCAAACGAGCACAGTTAAAGGATATATTAAGTTTTGAAGTGGAAATTGTAAGGGTTATGTTACATCTTTAGAAACAGCCCTCAAAATAAGAACTTCTGGGGCTGTTTATCTGAAGGGTGAATATCATTATCTACAGGATAAATCAAAATGATTACAAATTGCTTGATAAAAATCATATTCATGATATACATGTAATTATAATTATGATGGTGATTAATCTTAGTTTATAATTTCAACTTTAAGCTTATAGTATAGTCTTTGACTTTTAGCATACAGTATAGCCGGTTAGCAGCCACAGTCATAACCATGGTTCAATCAAAAGACAGTTCTTTACTATGCAAACCAACATAATGCTAATAAATAAGCCTTTTTCTCTCTTTGTTTAATTTTCTAATATTCATTTAGAATACTGCTGTCGGGGCAGATCCTGAAAAAAGGGTCACATCCCACCCATCCAGAGTGTGCAGATCATTCCGCGAGTATTTGACCATGAAAATAAATATCCATTTTTTGTTTGGATATTTAAATATGACTTCCCATGTAGCTTATGCTCAAAATGTTGAATCTCAYGTGTTGAATCCAATGGAAACACAAGATGATCATCCAGGGGTGTTAATCACATGATGGCATGTGATTGTAGCATGATAAAACTTAGTCTAACTGAGTCTAACTGTAGTCTGACTATCAAACTACGAACAGTTAAGCTTAAATTCTTTGATTCTGGCCAACAACACAGCAAAAATTATCGTAAGCGAGTTAAAGTATTAAATATATGGATCAAATCCTTTACTTCAGAATTTGTACTAAGCACTTCATGTTATTTGTATATTTACAAAAAACTCTTCAGCCTTTTAAATTTTAGTATTCTCAAATTTCAGGACTTCTGGTAAGATTTCCATCAACACCTTAGGTTTTATAAGGCTTGACTTATTTTACAAATATTAAAGCTTAAATAGTTGCCAGGAAAATTAAGCTTAAGTAAGTTAACTCTTATAAGCTGAAAGCTTAAATGAAACATGCGAAACGTGGCAAACCAAACACTCATTAACTAAAAATTTAGTTAACTTAAGATATGATATTAACTCTAAAATTTACAATTTCTTTCTCCTAAACACTCARTTACCACATATAYATTATGKYAATAGTTATGTGTGATCCTACCTCCAAAAAACGGCGGAATATTTCACAATCTTGATCTTCACGTGTAGAAAGTGCGGGGCAGAGAAATATTGGTTTTCCTGTGGTGATGACGTTGGATGACGTATTTTCTGATCGTCTGACGCCCCGATCAATGCTACCCGTCGGGGGTACCCAAAGGAATGTAATTTTCTAGAAAACATTTTATCGCTAATTGATTATACTAATCTAAAAGCTCAATCATTATGAAAACAGATTTTTAACAATAAAAGATTCATTCTTTTCTTTAAAATGTATATGAAATATAATTAAATTTATTATGCTAAAAAAAACACAATTACAGTGRCTGATAACGAGGCTCTCCCGTCGTCATAACAAAAATCCGAAGTTTGTRAAGACAAAAATATCTCTGCAAATATAGAAATGAAAGGAAGTTATAGTCGTTAGAAGGAGCCAATTTCGGGAGAAAGACCCTTAGAAATAAATTCGGAAAAATTTATTTCCGACCTCGCTGGGATTCGAACCCACGACCTTCGGAATTGTACTACCGATGCTCTACCAGCTGAGATACAAGACCATATTCATATCTCTGCAAATAACCCATTTGAATTCTGCATAATAATTGACCATATGAAAAACGAGCAGAAAACTGGGAATGAGCACCTTAAGTAATGGTCCGAGTAAGAAGCAGACAACCAAACGACAATGGATGCATGAAGGTGCTTATTTTGTATTGTATAATCCATCCATCTCATTGGTTAAAACATTAAAACTTGACATAATTTCAAAAGTAAGCACATTTTTTAAATATTTAATTCAATATCTGATTCCGACTTCATAAAAAAGCTTTCCTTAGCTTTAATATTATTAGCAATTCTATGTGGGGAACATAGCAAATTAGAAGCATTTTTTGGCTATTGTTTTGAGTGCTTATGATTGGACAAGATCTTTTAATAAAAAAAGAAACTTTGTTTCAAAACAGAGTTTATTCACATTTTATTTTAAAAATCTGTTACCCATAGGTTGATATATAATCAGTGTGAAAACCAAGACATTCCTATGTGGAGAAGTTGCAATTGCCGCAGAACAATAGAAAGTTGCCTGCTTTTTGCGCGCATTGTTACTTAAACGGTCCATGTTTTTAAAAATCTGTTTTCACTATTAGAAACAGTATATCTAAACTAGTAAATTGGAGTAGTTTTAGTTATTGAACATCAGCAGAGTTACGAGCATTTGAAATGTACCAAAAACGTAAATGGGGCTGGTAAGGGCTCAATACTGATTTTCATTCAAACCTTCGCAATTTCAAACACCTGTAATTTCTTGTCCTTCTGAAAGTTTTCACTAATCCTCCTTACATTTAAAATGTAAGGAGGATTAGTGAAAACTTTCAGATCTTATTCACTGTAATATGTTCTTTCAACGGGTAGTAATAATATATTAAACATCTTATAAACTATTAGGCGTTACGATAGCCACGCCCCTTTTCATATGGTCTATGGTAAGGCGCTATACAAGCTTATTTTTAGATGTATAGCTCACATTGATCGTTTTACTCTGTCATTTTAGGCTGCTTCTGATGAGAGATTTGCGTTTCTTGCCGATTGGTATGATCCTCGTGCAGCGTTGATGCGAAAGTACCAACTACTGTTTTACCCATCTGACAGCTCGGTTGAAATGGTAAGAAAGCACTTTTTTGTCTATCTTTTGAAAGATCAGCTGAGATTTTATTCGCGATGTGTTACACAGGAAGTCCAAGCAATGAATAAATAGTCTACTTTTATTTTATGCAGTATCGCAATGCATTATAAATAAGTTTTAAAAAATTTCCCCTCCATATCATATATATATTAGCTGTTTCAAAAAAGGTTGTCGGATAAAATGGCGAACGGATAAAATGGTCGAACGGCGATTGCACGACCGAAAGTAGCCATGGGTTTTTCTAGTTGAAAGGAAATAACTGATTTGTACTGTAAGATTGTCTGTGGTAAACATTGGCTCCATTTAGTCTCCAGTTCTAATAAGTGAAATTTTGTTTATCAAARCAGTGCAACCAACTTTTGGTCGTGCAATCTACCTTGCTTCGACAATCGCCGCGTTCACCGTTCTCCCCGACAACGGYTTTTGAAATAGCTATACATAGTCACTATGTCATATGCGACCTCTCACGAGAAAACGTGTCTTAACGCTTTAGAGTTAAACGGCCGTTTTTAACGGTCATTACCGCTTTTTCAAGTGCTGCTAACGCTTTTCTCTAAAAAACTAACGTTTTAAAAATGAATCACTGTTGCTCATCACTCTTAGTGTAATTTGTACTCTAACAATTAACCTAAAAGTGTAACAATATTACATATATATCATATTAAATTATTCAAGGTTGAGCTTTTTGAGGAGTATACAGTAATTTTCTCCTAATTTCTCCATTATTTACTCTATACCCAGCGTTCCTCGATATTGATGAGGGTTTATTTTTTTAGAGTGTTGTTCTCTTCGAATTTACATTTTTGATTATTCTCTAAAGCCATTTGGATTCTGCATTTGCCATCTCCATGAATCTTCACCTAAACACAAAWATGAAACTATCAATCAAAGAGATATTTATTCAGACATCTGTACARCCATAGGAATACAGTACCAAAGAAGAAAATGGATTAACTTGTTTGAGGGATAAGGTAGGGTAACCTCTTTCCCTACCCTTAGTATGCCCCACCAAACTTTAATGATCATTTAAAATGCATTAATGCTAAATAACAATTTATTTAGCAGAGTACAAAATTCACCCAGCAAAAATTGTTGATTTTTATAGCAACTTGAAAGTGTGATGCCATCATGTTGAGGATGCTAAAATACAATCATGATTTCCCTGTATTTTAATGTTAGTTGTCACACTCACACATTTTTGCAAAGGAAATATTAACATTTTCCGGATTTTTTTTATAAAATTGTCTCGATGCCCCTCGAAACTCTGGAAATCGCGTTTCCAAGAGTCAAAATTTCCTTCAAAGGAGAGGAACCTCACATCCCCTTAATACTCCTTCCTTTGGCGCTCGTTTATAGCCCCCCAATTCAAAATATATGTCGCGGTCCCTGACATGTGCGTACTAGCCAAAAAGTCCACGCTACGCGCCTGACAACTTTTACACTTCAGTTGTCATAGACATAGACATCAAAACTGAGTCTACCTTGTACAACATGATATGTAATCAGTTTTTCTTTTTTTTTTTTGCAATCTTTGATATTTTTAAAAAGAACACAACATATGGGACATTAAACCAGAGACCAATAATTTCTAGCTATTGATTAAATCAACGACAATGCACAAAAATCTTTTTGTAAGGATATATTCTGTTATTCTACTTACACATRGTGTCATGATCTCTGGTTGCTTTCCAGTTCAGTTCCCTCTCAGCTAATGATGCATCAGCATACATAGAATCTACATCTCCAGCTCTGCGCTCTGCAAACTTGTATGGAATCTGTAAAAAAAATAATAGTTTTATACTCTATAATTCATAGGAATTTTCCAGCTGATCAGAAGATTACTTACTTTTTTACCAGATGCTTTTTCAAACGCTTTCACCATATCTAATACTGAATATCCAGTTCCAGTTCCYAGATTGTAAACCTTATAAAGTGCAAAACAAATWATTMAACATCAACATAAAAAACAGGAACCAAGGAACAAGTSGTGTGGTGCTATTTCTTCAAGCATCTTTTGTAAGCCTTATATTAAAATTGCAACTTACTATAATTTYATTCATAATTTTGATTGTTAATTCATAATTTTGATAAATAACTACTCCTGCCAATACAGGGGTTTGGAGTAATCTAAATGACTTCTGATTAGAATCTAACAATTCATTAAATGATCAACTCTAAATGATATAATATCATACCTTCCAGCCACAATTTTGCTCTATTTTCTTCAAGGCAGCAACAAAACCCAAAGCAAGATCAACAAYATGGATGTAGTCTCTTACTCCAGTTCCATCTGATGTATTGTAATCATTTCCAAAAAYATTGAGGTATGGTCGTTTTCCAACTGCAACTTGGGTAATATATGGCATAAGATTGTTAGGTATACCCTATAGCAACAATGGTAAATGCAAATTGATCACACAATGTACAGTATTCATCTAAATATAATCTAAATTGGTTAGGAAAACCTACGGTGGGCAGAGCCAAGGAGGAGTGGTATTTATTGCTAATTATATGATTATTTCAAAATTAATTTGTTTGTATCACAAGCAATAAAACATGTCAATATAGAATTATACAAATAACCTTAAAAATGGAACTCTTCAAAGTGGAAAAAACTAAACTAATAAAAGATGCAACCAAGCATAAACAAAGAATCCAAACTTACAACAGRAATTGTTGCATTGCAACTTTGAAGTTCAAAAGAAATTGTTGGGATTTTTTTTTCTGTACAGTACAAGCAAAGCTTGTAGCTAYAAACCTATGACTGAACGAGTTTACGAAATGTACCTCCCTCAAGATCACAGGAAAGAACAATAACCAATAAAACTTCAAAACAAAGCAGTTGCGATAAAATGATTTTTACTGTAATTCCAAATCCATGTACCTTAGGATCTTCACCAATCTTTCCTGATATATGAGCACCGACAGGATTGAAATACCTGAGTGACACAACATTCCATTTCTGTAATATGAACAAAATAACACAAATTGAATAACATTCCTTTTTAAAAATTTGTTCACTCCCAATCTTTCRGTTTTAAATTTAACATATGCCTATTGTCTATCTATTGTTTCATTCTCAAGAGTTTTTGTCCTTAAAATAATACGTCATGTACCTTTTCAGAAAGACAAATATCTCTCAGCATTTCTTCAATAAAGTATTTAGTTTTTCCATAAGGACTGGTTATTCCATTGCCAACAGGATGTTCCTCTGTCATGGGTAGAAACTCTGGCTTGCCATAAACTGTGGCAGATGATGAGAACACCATGTTGTATACTCCATACTCCTTCATGCACTATTTTATAATATATACAAAATAATTAAAAAATCATGGTAATATTTGTAAGAGATTTGTAAGACTTGTGAGATTGCAAGATTGCAAGAYTGCAACCATTACAGACAGAAAGMTCCAGTGGTATGAAAACAAGAAAGACAATGGCAGTGTCACCAATGTCAATAGAAGCAGTTAGTGATGTGGTAGACAAGTGGTGATGACATTACAATATGTAGTTGTGACGCTGCATGATTACAAGGTCATTAGATGAAGACAGTGCATGGTGGTAGTTGCATTGATGATTGCAGTGTCAGTGTTGCGATGTTGGTATAAAATTAAATTACCGGGGTATATTGTTAAAGTTGGTGCTGTTGATTTTGATAAATGTATTTAGTGTTACAAATCACAATTTTAATGTATCCTTTGAAGCATAATAGCCATCCAAAGTGATGTGTATGATCATAAATCACAATTTCATGAAATGTATTACCACTTCTGGCAGCAATTGTCTTGAACTTTACAAATTTGCATTATATTACAGGGGAAATTAGCTCCACATATTCCTTCGGATGCCCTATAATAACATGTATGTAATATTGGTGATCACAATTTGTACCTGAATTAAATTTAAGGTACCACTCAAGTTATTGTGATAATATCTGATAGGAATTTGAACAGACTCTCCTACAGCTTTCAGYCCAGCAAAATGTAGAACACCCTCGAATTTGTGCTGAAGAAGAGAATATTTATAATAACCAATACACATCAAATAAGATTGACTTGTAAYTTCACCTCTATTTCATACAGTAATGTAACATATAGTAGTTTAAAACGTTTATCAGATATTCAAATATGCCCTGGGAAACATGATAACTGGATAGATCAAACAGTGTTACCACATCTACTTTGATGTACTAAATGCAGAAATTATATTTATTTACTATATATAGTCAAGGCAACTTTCACATTATCATCATTAAATACAAATTACTAGAGCAGATTTCGTATAAGTGGGAAACGGACAGTACTGTACTGTGACTGTAATCGTACTGTAACCAAATTCTAGTGCCCCATTGGTTCACCAAAATTGTGCAGGCCAGGTCCGGTAACTGTGCGGCAACCGTGTGGTATAACGGTGTCCCACTCATACGAAATCTGTTTCCTTTACCTGACTGAAAACTTTTTGTAAACCTTGAATGTTGAGTAAATCCTCTTTGTAAAATGCTGTACTTTTTCCTGTAATTTCTTCTATTCTCTTCAAACAGTTTACTTGGGAAAARAGAATTGAAAATAATTTGAAAACATTGACTGCATCAGTAACATATA